ATGTGGTGGTGGGGGCGGGGGGGGGGGGGGGGGGGGGTTACATGGTGTGTGTGTGCAAGATATCTCAACCTCAAATTTTTGACCATGTTCCCTGTGTAGTTATTTTCCAGTAGCTAAAGTGGACTTTTGTACTTTGTACTTTTACCAAGCAGGAAATAATTTTTTCTTCCTCCTCTAAGTGCAGCATAATATAGTATATATAATAAGTAACAAGGAAGAGTTCTCAAAAAAATGAAGGAGTTACATGCCAGACGATCCTGCACTAGAATGTCGTGGCGACCGCATTTCAGTCAGGCATGAATCTGTGTACCTGTGTATAATGGGCCACAGCCCATTTCTGTTCCAAACCCATGAATCTGCCTTGGATTAGGCCTGACAGAAGCAGGCTGGGTGGATGGAACTCACAGGTGATCGAAGGAAATGATCGAAGTCATTTCCCATGTCCAGTATTTGAGTTTGTATCAACCAAGCAAGCAGCCAGGAACGAAAGCTTCTCGGTACCACCCCAAATCCCTCTGTGCATGGAAAACCCTGCAATGGCTCGTGGCGGGCTGCTTTGTGACAGCTGCACAGCTCAGTATGGTCCCAATACATCGACTGTCCCCAATGATTTGAGCCTGTGATGGTCCGTGAATCCCACACAGGCCCTGAAGGGATGATGGGGTTTGCGGGGCCAATTAGGGCACCTGGAGGGAGAGCTGGGCCTAACTGAAGACGCCACCCGGCTGGGGGTGGGGTAGCTGGATTATAAAGCCGGAAGTTTGCAGCAGAAGGCGGCTGTAGAAAGCACATCCATGGTCATGCTCCCGGAGCAGAGAGGAGGGGGGAGCTCAAGATGGGGAATAAGCCCTGGGATTCTAGCCCCAGGAGGTGGGACAGCCCCACTGGAGATGTGGGGAAGGAAGCGAGAGAGAGAGACAGGTAGGAAGAAGCCGAAGAAAAGAGCAGGAAGGGCTCCTGGTTATAGGTCCGGGGGTTGAACTCCAGTGTGGAGGGTGGGTCCGGCTCCCCCAGCACAGGGGCACTGGAGATGCCAGACAGCTGGTCTAGAGAGACTTTGTCATCCGGCAAGGACTGAAGGGCGAGCTGGCCGGAAGGGTGAGTCGGGAAGACGGAGCACCCTGGGTCACAAAGAGGAAGAGAGCCCCAGCTTAAGGAACGGAGGGAGAGGGGCACCAGACTGGTGAGAGCAGCGTCAAGCAGGATCAAAGAGCTCCATTGGCCTGCCTCGTTAGGGCAAATTACCCTCGTCACCTCAATTCATCCCTACTGTCCATCCATCCAGCCATTCGGGTGCATGTGATCTCAGCTCTTCCTTTGCTGGTCTGACGCAGGCCTCTCCGCTCGTCCGCAGCAGGGTTGTCACTGCTGATTGCAGAGCCTCCTCTTCCCTCTGAAACAGCCTCCCTGCAGCTCTCTGCTGGACTTCCCTGATGCCCAGAGCTTTTATCCCTGTGTCTCAAAGGTCCTTCTTAAGATCTTATAGATAGGGAAATAGAGCAGAGTAGGGTCTCGTTGACTCCGGGTCTCTTCATACTCCAGCTACAAACAGCTGTGGCCTGTTCTCGAAGGCATTCTGACCACCTGCAGCTGCCTGGGATTTGTGGGTACTCAGCACCTCCGAGACTCAGACCAATCAGCTGACCACACCTCGTATTTGCTTTCTCTTACTGCACGCTGGATAATGTAGTAAAGCTTCCTGGAAGACATTACAGTTGGTGCAGAGTTGTAACTAGCTAATTTGGCGCCTGAGGCAAGACCATCCTCGGCGCGGGCAGGGGTGCAGACGTGGTGCAAGGCACGAGCGAAGACAGAGTAGTAGCTGATTTTCTGCGCCCCCCCCCCTCAGCTATGCACCTGAGGCAAGTGCCTCACTTGTCTCGCCCTTGTTACGGCCCTGAGTTGGTATGAAGATGCTGCATTGGACAGAACAACAGCTGGTAGCTTAAATCCACGTGATTTTCAATGCACTGAAATTGAAACCCACCCCCCAGCAGAACAAAGGCCTATACCCGACTTACTTCCCTCCTACCTCTCATACTAGGGACCTAAGAGGCGTCCCAGCCTTGTGCTTGGCCTTGTGCACAGGGTGAATTTTACCTAGTACAGCTCGGGCTCAGTTTGGGTTTTTTAACCATTCGACAGATTACAGACCATTTGCAGCCTGTAGTACAAATTCCCCTCTTCTCCAAAGGCAATACACCATGTATAAAAATGGGGGTTGTCTACAGGGCCAGTTGCCTTTATTGAATTCAAAGAGATTCCCCTGTGATCTGCCTTATAGCAGATTTTATAAATGTTTTACTCGGCATCTATTGCAGCCATTCCAGAGCCTTATGAGAATGAAGGGATATTGGCTACGGATAAATCTCACCTCTGGTTAGAGTCAGAAAAGTGACCGTAATTTGAGCTGTTCCATTTTTTTTCCAACCTAGGCAGCAATTGTGCCACCTGTGAGCCTATTTTAATTGCACTGGAAAACTTTTGCAGAAAGCAAATAGCACTTTTTGACCAACTCTACTCCTAGGCTACGTCTAGACTGGCATGATTTTCCGGAAATGCTTTTAACGGAAAAGTTTTCCATTAAAAGCATTTTTGGAAAAGAGCGTCTAGATTGGCACGGATGCTTTTCCGCAAAAGCACTTTTTGTGGAAAAGCGTCTGTGGCCAATCTAGACGTACTTTTGCATGAAAAAGCCCCGATTGCCATTCTCACGATAGGAGCTTTTTTGCACAAAACAAATCTCAGCTGTCTACACTGGCCCTTTTGCGCAAAAGTTTTGCGCAAGAGGGATTTTTGCCCGAACAGGAACAGCATAGTATTTCCGCAAAAAGCACTGATTTCTTACAGTAGGAAGTCAGTGCTTTTGCAGAAATTCAAGTGGCCAGTGTAAACAGTTGACAAGCTTTTCTGGAAAATCGGCTGATTTTCTGGAAAAACTGGCCAGTCTAGACACAGCCCTAATGTACTTTTCTATTCCACCGGTGACATATGTGAATGTTTTGTCTAATCTGCTTGGGCTGTCCATCTCAATATGCCGAAATGTTGATACTCCAGTGTTATTTTAGTTACACCCACTTGTAGGACAACTGAAGGACAAGTATACTAAGGATCCATTATATATAAAAATGGCTTCTGAGAGCATCTACTGAGAGAATGCTCCTATGTGTTGCAGAATGTAAAAAACTCAAAGGATTTTCCCCCCACCAAATAGGCCTTTTAAAGAAATAGGGCAATTAAACAGGAAGCATAAAACAACTGGCCGTGGGAATAAAAAATAATAAAGGCATAAGCTCCAGTGTATTCATCCTAGGGAGTCT